ACGAAGTCCGTGCTGGCGCCGATGGTTGTGGAAGCACATCGATGTGGGCAGCAAGTAGCGAAGAATAGCGAGTGTGGCAGCCATGTTGACGTTCGGAAACTTCTCAAGACTTTGCAGAGCAAGGAGAGCAACAAGTTGTGTCGACAGTCCCCGCTACAGGAACTTGAAGTCGCTGACTTGACGTGGGATTTCAACGGGACTGTGGAGGATACACTGAGTATCGAGATCGAGGAGCTAGAAGATCGAGCAGCAATGAGTGAAACGGATACGTGTATCGTGTTGTCAGCGTCATCACAAACAGCGGGTGGACAAGCTGTGATTTGGTTTCCTCTGGACTGCAGCGACGACGTGGGCGATAGAAGAAAACGTCAGATCTTACTATACGTGTGTCCTGGTCGTGTGAAAGTTGTTAAGAGCGTGGGGGATTTGATCAAAAAGATGTACGAGGAACTACCGATACTACGAGAGAACGGATCGACATACAACGTTTGGGCAGTGATAATGGGAGCTAAATCATACAATCAGCAAGAGGAAGAGCGTGATTCAATTCGACATGAAGTCGCTAAAGATAATAGGAACCAGCATAAGGCGAATAGCGTCTTAAAGTCCTCGAACAGCTCTACGAATAGCACCTCAGTCCGTCCAAGTGCTAGCGACTCCAACCAGATACACCTGGTGACTCGATCTACGGATTCGAAGAGATATAGCAGGGATTCCTACAACCAGAAGGTGACAGATAATCAGTCTGGGGCTGTGGTGGACGATGAGGATACCATACGCGATGATGAGCTTGATCAAGACAAATTTCAACCTGTATCTCTTCGATTCTCCGGTTACCGCGATATTACGGACATGAAGCCATACCTGACCAAGTCAATATTTTCTTTTGGTGGATTTCAGAAAAACTCGGTTGAGCTGCAGCGGAGGTCGAGTGAACGTATGATGGATAATTCTGCTGTAACTGAGGAGAATACTTGTACACGGGATGCAGTCATTGTCGAATGCGATGTAGTCAACCCTGAGGCCCAAGCCGCTAATGCAACAAGTTCCGGGGACAAAGAGGATTTATATGAAGCAGTCGCTAGAGACGAAATGGTTGTACAGGAAGATAACCAGCGTCAGAATCCGCGTCCTAAACCCCGAAGGGTAGTATCGTCGTCACTCTCCAAGTTCACGAACGTAGCCAAAGAAGAAAACTTTAAGACAGAAACTGGACTGGGTCTAGGAGGCCGCTTGCAACAGGGGTTTGCGTGGCAAAGTTGTGACGGTAAGGTGCTGAGGAAGACAATACTGGGACAGCGGCCTAAACAGACTGATGATGAACCGAATGAAAACGAGCGAACAGAATCGCGTGGAGGGG